GGGGGGGGGGGGGTGTTGAGAAACCGATAACAGCTGCATCCGGATTTCGAAAAGAAGCTTCTCGATTTTTTGGAGCTGCTTCTGACTTTCCGTCAACTTGCAAACTTGTCTGAAGTTTGGATTTGTCCCAAAAAAAAAAAAAAAAAAAAAAAGTTTGGATTTGTTGTCAAGCGTTAGTTCAATCGCTGCCAAGGATACATTTTTAAAATTTGTTGGAATGTCCTTCGGAAGTTGGAAAGGAGTTTTACTCGAGCGCATCCAGTCCAAGGTCCTTTGGGGGGGAAAAAAAAAGAAAAAAAAAAAAAAAAAAGAGAGATCAGGCCCTACATTACCCGACGTAAACGTGCGGGGCCTCTCCGTAGGAAATGTACAGGTAATATCCTTACAGAACCTGTACGGGAGCCTGTGCATCATGTCGTACGTTTTGAAAGCCCCCGTACGGGAAAAAAGAAAAGAAAAGAAAAGAAAAAGGTTATGCACCAGCACAAGAAACAAACAACATTTGGCTCAGCATCATCTGCAGATTTTTATTAGAAGTTGAGGGGGCGTGTGTACAAGGCCCGGGAACGGATTCACCGCCGTATGGCTGACCGGCGATTACTAGCGATTCCGCCTTGATGCAGGTGAGTTGCAGCCTGCAATCCGAACTGAGACCGGGTTTTTGAGGTTAGCTCGCCTTCGCAGGGTTGCAACTCTTTGTCCCCGCCATTGTAGCACGTGTGTCGCCCAGGAGGGGGGCAGATTAAAAAAAAGAAAAAATGTCGTACGGGGCCCCTAGCGTATGAGTACAGGAGTAGGAATCCGTACTCGTATGGGGTGCATACAGGTGGCAACCTCTTCTTCCTCTCTGCCTACGGTTTACCGGGCAGCTCTGTTTGACGATATACACCTCAGGGTATCAGTTGTCGGGCAGTCGTTGATGCTTAACCACAACCAGGGTTAAGGTGGATTACCACTTACAGTGTAATCAGTTAGGGGATTCTGCAGACTGTTGAGGGAAACAGTTTGTCACAGTCCCTCCCTCGTTTGTTGTCCTCTTCTCCCTCTCTGCCTATGGTTTACCGGGCAGCTCTATATATATCGTCACAAACAGAACTGCCCGGTAAACCGTAGGCAGAGAGAGAGAAGAGGA